CTTTCACAGGCATGTGAATGTCATGCTTTCCAGGGTGATGTGACAGAGCTCTTTGAATTCTCCGCAGCTGCGATTGAGTGGATTGAAAAATTCAGGGGTCATTTCGTAGCAAAAGAGATGCAGGAGCTCATTTGCACAACTCATTTGCATATGCCACACCCCCTGACAAAGGGCAGGCATGCAAGCACACCTGGGTTCCCTGCCTGATCGGGCAGGGAACCCAGGCATGTTTAGAGTGCCTTTTTCTCCCTTCCCCATCTGGGAAAGGAAAAGAAAGGCATTTAAATCCCCCCCTTCCCTGAGTTTCTCCACAAAAGCGGAGAAACTCAGGGGGAAGGGGGCATGTCTGCCCACCTCCCCTTCCCTTCTCCAGCCAGCCCGCTGCGGAGGGCTGGCTGGAGAAGGGGAGGTGAGGGCAGGGAGGCGGTGTGTGGGGGAATGGCAGCGGCGGGATGCCCCGGACTCTTTACTGCCGGAGCCCTGCTCTGCTGCGCTCTGGCAGGAAATGACCCCCGGAAAAATTTAGATATTAGTATTTAGGGGGATTGCTCAATCTGTCTGTATAACTGTTGTATCAACTTGGTTACATATTTTATATTATTATATGCTTCCTGTGTGTAATTCTGCCATACACTAAATAAATAAATAAATAATAACGTTGTGGCATTAAAACTTTGGAATTCCCTCCCCACAGAAAGTCACCTGGCACCAAATAAGGAGTTGGGGCCAGACAGAATTTCCCACGAATGGAATGCAGGGAGTAATTTCCACCAGTTCCCTCATCCTGCTGCAGACTCCCCGTTTCCTCTCGTGCTCTTTCTGAGGGTTCCTCGTATGCCCAGTGGGCTGCAGCAGGAAGGGGTGGGGGAGGCAGGGACATTCTGTTCTACTGTCAAAAGTGTCCTGCGTGAGTAGATTTAGTTTGCATCCAACCCTAGGTTTATTTTATTATTTAATTACAGAATTTATATTCCACCTTTCTACCCAATCAAGGCCACAAAGGCGGCTAAGATGTCTTCCGGACACTGGGGGGAAAACATTCTTATTTTGCCAAGAACGGATGGTTTTTTTATATTTCCCACTGCCTGAAGCATCTTCCTTCTCTGTTTCCAAGTTTTAGTATTTGGTTCATAAATTCAAATTAGGTGCAGCTGTGTTATTGATCTTTAGCCACTTTATATTTCCCCACCTGTTTATGAGTTGTTTCTATGATTTTTTCCTTGTGCTCCTAGACTTTCCATGCTTTTGTCTTTGCAGTGCCATGGTCACACGTCCTGATAAGTGATACTATGAATTAGGTTTTATTATGCTGTTACTCTGTTTATCTATTCTGCAACTCTAATTTTACTTTGCACGGATTTTGTATTTAGATTATTGTATCTACATGTATATGCCAACAAAGGCTTGTCTGTCTAGTTCACAGATTTATTATTTAACAGTTTGATTAGAGCTTCATAACTCGCCTTGTGACAATTCTATCGAGGCAGAGTAAATGTATTTTGAATAGTAAAATAGTACAGTTACTCTGGAGTGACTAGTTCATTTTGAGAGTTTCAGGTGGGTTATTCTGCAGTAGAAGTGCTAGATTTGAGTCCAGTAGCACCTTAAAGACCAACAAGATTTCCAGGGTAGAAGCTTTTAAGAGTCAAAGCTCTTGTACGTGATGAAGGGAACACTGACTCTTGAAAGCTTCTACCCTGGAAATCCAGTTGGTCTTTAAGGTGCTGTGTGTCTAAAGCAGCATCATGTCACAGCTGACTTATGGTGACCCTGTAGGGTTGTCAAGGCAAGAAACATTAAGAAGAAGAAGAAGAGGAGATTGGATTTATACCTCGCCCTTCACTACCCAAAGGAGTCTCAGAGCGGCTTACAAACTCCTTCCCCTTCCCCTCCCCACTACAGACACCCTGTGAGGTAGGTGGGGCTGAGAGAGCTCTGGCGGAAACTGTTCTTTTTCAAGAACAGCTGTGCCAGAACTATGGCTTGCCCAAGGTCATCCAGCAGCTGCATGTGGAGGAGTGGGGAATCAAACCCGGTTCTCCCAGACCCGCGCACTTAACCACTACACCATTAAGTCCGCGCACTTAACCACTACACCAAACTGGCTCTTGAGGTGGTTTGCCTTTGTCTGCCTCTGCATAGCAACCCTGGACTTCCTTGGTGGTCTCCCATCCAAGAACTAATCAGGGCCCGCCCTACTTGACTTTGTAGATCTGATGTGACTGGGCTATCCTGAGCCATCCTGGTCAGAATGGTCTTTTCCCGGACTTCTCATTTTCCTAGTTGATGTGTGGTGGCTCGAGACCATGTTATGCCGGGTGACTTCTTGCAGTTATCTACTTCGGACTTTTCATCATAGCAATAATAAGAAAAAGGATGGGTCACGCAGAATGGAAATTCAGCTACATTAGAATATGCTGTGTCGGCACCTGCACAGTCACCAGCCATCATTGGTTTGGGAGAGCCATGGCGAAGTGTTTGCAAGCCGGAGCCAATTAATATAGCTTCATCTGTAGAACCAAACAAGAGCCCAGGTGAAGAAAATAGCCTCCGCCTGGCTGACAGGAGCGTAGGCACTGAGCAAACATCTCTCAGTAGGGTGTTCTAAAACTGTGCCATTGCTACAGGAAAAGCCCCATCTCCAACCACACCACCCGGCTAATCTCCAGGTGAGAGCACCTGAAGCAAGGCCTCTGATGCTTATCTGAGTGATCGGGCAGGTTCGAGCAATAGGAAGTCCACGGAACAAGCTGTGGCGCTTGTCTCAGATCACCTGGCTACATGTATAAACACCCCAGTACGCAGCCTGGGATTTTGAAAGGGTGGATGCCACTCCAAAAGGGCTGCCAAATCTCTGTGTGCCACCCACTCTTTCTTGCATTTACAGACTGGCATGGGAGCAATGTTGTATACAGGGGTCATTTCCTGGAAAAAGAGCTGCAGGAGCTCATTTGCATAACTCATTTGCATATGTCACACACCCTGACAAAGGACAGGCATGTTTAAAATGAGTCAAGGCATATGCAAATGAGTTTAAATCCCCCCCTTCCCTGAGTCTCTCCATGGGTGGGGGGCGGGGCCTGGGCTCCTTACTGCCAGAGCACCACTCCGGGGCAGTCCGGCAGGAAATGACCCCTGGTTGTATACAAGGAGGGGACGTCTCTGCTACACCTGCCAGTCATTTCATTTGTAATCCACCTTTCTCACTGAGACTGAGGTGGGTAGCACAAGTGTAAAACAATGCTGCGAGACCAGGAAGAATACTTAATATACAACCATAACACATCTTTGTTACAAAAATGGACATCTATTGCCCTGACCTGGATAGCCCAGGCAAGTCCTATCTCGACAGAACTTGGAAGCTAAGCAGGGTCAACTCTGGCAAGTATTTGGATGGGAGACCTCCTTGGAATACTAGAGGTGGGAGGCAGGGTCAGGCTTTATTCAGCCACCTCTCTGAATATTTCTCCAGGCCAGAGGTTGCCATGACTTCCAGGAGCACACATACACACTCACTCACAAACATTCACACACACAAGCGCATATACTAAAAAACCAACCAAAAAGATGGACATCTATTGACCTGTGGCTATCTCCCTAGCACACAGCCCACAAGTAGCAAAAATGGGGTGTGTACCTGGAGAAAAGCAAGCTGCTGATATGTGAGTTGTGGAGCAGCCTCCCTGTATCTATGGGAATCACGTTCCACTGGCAGAGATGGTTCTCCTAAGCTGTTTGTATGAGAGAGAAGATATTGTGCCTGGGAGATCTATGGGTAGTTAGGAGTGCATTGTTTGATGGTGGTGTCTTCTAAAGCAGTTTTCCCCAACCTGTGGGTTGTGACCCAAAAGTGGGTCACAAAGCCTCTGAAAGTGGTTCTTGCTCAGAGACAAACTCCCACTTCCTTGGAGTTCATAGTGGGGGCAGCTGCACTCTTTGTGGGATTGTTTGTTGGCTTTTCAAAATGTTTGGTTGGGCACTATAGAAAATGGAATGCTGGAATGGATGGGGGCAAAGGTCATTGTTTGCCTAGCGCACCAAAAACAAAACAAAACATGGGCCAAAGTGGAATGTTTCATCATACAAACTAAATTTGAACTTGTGGGTCACCATATTGAAAAGATTGGGAACCACTGTCCCTCAAGGATAGTTGTGTGCCCAGGCAGTGTGGTGAATCTGGCATTTGGTCACATGAGATCTCCTTGTAGACGCTTATGAGCAGTCTGTGACCTGTGCTGATGCCACACCAGTTTGTCAACTCAGTGTCCGGGTGATGGCACCCAGGGAAAACTCCCCATTCTTCAGCTGTTGGTTTTTTAATTCCCCCCCCCCATCTGTCCACCGCAGCAGTGAGTGTTGGTTCGTGGACGGCAGCAAAGTATGTTGAAATTTCCTGGAGCTGATAGTGATGTCACAAGCAAAGGTTGCGGGTGGGGGGAGAGAGGACCTCTTTTTCTTAAGAGAATATGCTTTTAGCTACACTTAGTCACAGACGGGTGTTTAGACTAGTTCTTCAGAGTTGCCCAACATTCTGGCTTCCGCTTCGGCACAATGCAGGAGTGCCTCGCCAATGCTCTTTGAGCAAACAGCCCTGGATTTCTTTATTTCCCTGCCTTGTGCTGCAGGAAGTTGGGGGAGAGCCCATATGCAACAGTAGCTTTTGAACATCCTGCTGGAACTGAGTGTGTGTTTTTTCTTCCCCCTTGGGCTGCCTCCGGGCATTTCGTGCAGGATCCCGAAGAGCACCTCTTCCCTCGTGCCAGGTCTGCCAACCCCTGTGAGGCAGATTCGATTAGTCTCTCCTCCTTCCCCTACCAAACTAGAGGGGTTGCGACAGACAATGAGGTGACACCATCTCTCAGTAATGCGGAGCTGGACCCTGAGCCCTTGCTTAAGGGCGAAGGACTTTCCTTTGGAGTTTGCATAGAGCTTGTTTTTGTTTTTAAGGGGTGGTGGTGGTGGTTGTTTTTGCTCATGTACATTATTGGATTAGAGCAAATGGGATACACTAGAACACAGGACAGGATGCATCGCCATCGGAGACTGCCAAAAAAGGTACTGTGGACTTTCAATCTACCCGTCTTAAGATTCCGAATTTGCCTGTTTGTACCATGTGAGTTAAAAAAAATAGCAGGCAGGTTCCGTGCAGAAGATAACTGTGCTCTCTGTAGAAATTGGGGAGACTCCATGTCCTGGGGCACTATATCCCCCCCCAAGTACCAGTGGAGGGAACCATGGCCTGCTGGTAACTCTGCAGAGGCATTTGGCTGCCCGCAGTCACAGGCAGACTGCAAGAGGAGAGGGGCCTGTGGCCTGATCCAGCAAGGCTAGTAGCACAGAGGCAAAGCAAATAAACGAAGGGCTGGGGAATTCAAGATGCAGATCTTCCCTCTGTCGTAGGCTCACAGGGTGGTCTTGAGAGAACTCTTACCTTTCAACATGAGAACCGACCTAGATGAGAAGCCACGGCTGGAAATTTTCAGCACTCTTGGAAGGGGAACAAGCAAGCTTGTGGGGCCCCCAATCTGGATCAGAGCTACAACGGCGGAGCCCCTGCATGGTTTCACTGACTGAATCTGCCCTCCTTTCCCTGCTCTGTTATTCAGGGCTGGTTCTCTGGCCTAGACCCTTCAGGGACTGCTGAGAGACACAGTGAGTTTCAATTAGAAGTAACACAGGGGGATATTAAACCCTCTCCCACTGCAGTTTCTCATCTAGTTTAGTTCCCATCAGCACAGGGTTGCCATCTCTGGGTTGGGAAATACCTGGAGCTTTTGGGGGGTGGAGACTGGAGAGGGTGGGATTTGGGGAGGGGAGGGAACTCTGAAGAATGTAATGCTATACAGCCCACCCTCCAAAGCAGCCATTTTCTCCAGGGGGACTGATCTTGATCGTCTGGAGAACAATTGTGATAGTGGGAGATCTACAGGTGCCACCTGGAAATTGGCAACCTTACATCTGCAAAATGGGACTGATAACGAGGGCCCTGCTTTACAGACCTGATGTAAGTGTAGGCGAGATTAGGCGTGCAAGGAATTCCAACAGTGATATGTTGATCTACTTTACAGCGTTGCTTGTGTAAAGATCATAACCAAATAAATATAGTGAAGTGCCTTAACTGTTTGAACTGTGTTAGGGGAAAGCCTAACTGTTCGGACTGTGTTAGATGAAAAGTACCAGGGGCAGGTGATGTGGAAGACCTCAGCCTGGGACCTTGGAAATCCACTGCGAGTCTGAGTACTAACCTTGATGGACCAATGTTCAGATTCAGTATAAGGTAGCTTCCTAACGGTTTGAAATGCTAAGTATTACGACAATGGCCATGGAAGGACTGCTTCCTTTGGGTCAACAAGGTCAGGTCTGGTGCCAGACATTTAGAGACTGCACACAGGATCTGATGAGAGAGTGGAGGGGGTAGACATGTTAAGCAACAAGCCTTCAGGCTCTCATCAGGTTTTCCTGAGTTGTCCGGCCAACAAAAGGGGTTTCTAGCCCTCACTGGCTAGCTAAATTGATTCCAGGCCCTTCGTTGGCAAGATAAGGGAATTGCTCAGGTCTGTAGGAATCAATGCTGAATCTCAGCATGTTCCTAGGAAATATGTGTGAAATAGTTGCTGTGGGGGTCAGGACCCCTCCAGGAAGGAGAGAGAACAGGCCCATAAAGCCCTTTGTAACTGGGGGTTTGGGTGACTAAGTGGGCTTGAGTATTCAGGAATTGTATCCATCTCCCTAGAGACTTGCTTGAGTGGGGGCTCACAACATTTTTAAAGACAACAGCATAAGAATTAGATCAAGATGGGTAGCCGTGTTAGTCTGTCTGTAGCAACAGCAAACAGCAAGAGTCCAGTAGCACCTTAAAAGACTAACAAGATTTGTGGCCAGGTAGGAGTGAAGAGGACCTTAAGAGCCTCTTGCTCAGGGTAAAAGAGGAGAGCGCAAAAGTGGGCTTGAAGCTCAACATCAAAAAACCTAAGATCATGGCAACCGGCCCCATCACTCCTTGGCAAATAGAAGGGGAAGTCGTGGAAGTAGTGACAGACTTCACGTTCCGGGGATCCCAGATCACCGCAGACTGTGACAGCAGCCATGAAATTAAAAGACGCCTGCTCCTTGGGAGGAAAGCGATGGCTAACCTAAACAGCATGATAAAAAGTAGAGACATCACCCTGCCAACAAAAGTCCGCATGGTCAAAGCAATGGTATTCCCAGTAGTCATGTATGGCTGCGAGAGTTGGACTATAAGGAAGGCCGAGCGCCGAAGAATAGATTCTTTTGAACTATGGTGCTGGAGAAGACTCTTGAGAGTCCCTTGGACTGCAAGGAGATCAAATCAGTCAATCCTAGAAGAAATCAACCCTGACTGTTCCCTGGAAGGCCAGATAATGAAACTGAAGCTCAAATACTTTGGCCACCAAATGAGAAGGGAGCACTCACTGGAGAAGACCCTGATGCTGGGAAAGATTGAAGGTCAAAGAAGATGGGGACGGCAAAGGATGAGATGGTTAGACAGTGTCATCGATGCAACGAACATGAAATTGAGCCAACTTCAGAGGACAGTGGAAGACAGGAGGGCCTGGCGTGATCTGGTCCATGGGGTCGCAAAGAGTCGGACTCGACTATGCGACTGAACAACAACAACAATACTTATTTAGAATATTTCTATTCCATGTCTTCAGAGGCCTGCTCTGAATTTAACTGCGGGATGGTTTACAAGTAAAACAACACAACAATATCAAAACAAGCCATTCCATAAAAGAGAAGCAAACCATTTAAAAACTGGTGAGATAAACTGGTGAGATAAAACCGCTAATTAAAAGATGAGCTTTGGCCTGGGCCCTGAAGGAAGTAGGTGCCAGGGGAGGCTCAAGGGGGAGGGCATTCTGAAGAAGAGGTGCCACCACATAAAATGTCCTATCTCTAGTCGACTCCTGGCTCACCTGTGAAGGTGGAGGTTCAGCAAGGTAGATCTTAACTGGTAGGCTGGATAGTACAGGAGACAGACTTGCCAGAACATCTCAGGGGTAGAGGACCAATGAAGGTAGTTTGGCCCCAGAGGGCAACTGACACATATTTAGGGGCCATCAGGGAGTTTTCTGGTGCTATGACTGGCATGTCTCTTTTAACCACATGTTGATTGATGAAATATGGAGACCATCTGTAGAGCCCATTCATCTCCTTAATTTACTGAAGAGCATGGGACCATGGAGTGGGCCAGCAGATGGTTTGAGAGTGAGTGTAACAAATGCAACCTTACAGCAGATCTTTGCACCTCCTTTGCGGCAATGGAAATGGCAAATTGTTTGTACTTATCTGCCAGCTCTGTAGCTCTGCAATGTCATCCACTGAGCTTTTCCAGATTGCAAGAGGGTTTGTTCTTCAAGCCCATGATGACAGAAAATTCAGAGTCCCATCGGAAACAATGATGGAGTTCAGAAGAATGCAAACTCATTTGAGATTCAGAGGTATCAAAGAAAAAGAGAATGAAAATATAAGAGAGGAAATGATAAAAGCGATAACTTTATACTTGGAAGAGGAAGAGGGAACAATGGAAGCAGACTTTGACTTGATATACAGAGTGAACTCCAGAATTGCGGAAAAGAAAAATTTACCAAGAGATGTAATTGTACAATTTGTAACAAGAGCAACAACAGAAGACATCTTTAAGAAACAATTTACCGTCCCGTTCGAAATGGAAGGAAACAAGATCATGGTGATGAGAGAGCTCCCACGAGTAGTATTGCAAGACAGGAAAAGGTATAAACCTTTGGCTGATAAACTGAAGACTTTGAACATCAGATACAGATGGGAAATTCCACAAGGCTTATCCTTCACGTATAAAAGTGGGAGGGTCCAGATCAGATCGGTGACGGACTTATATAAATTTAAGGTCGACAATTTAGATGCCTTTGGAGAAATTTAACTTAAAATTTACAATGGATTACAAATTGTTGTCATGGAATGTGAATGGACTAAATTCACCAAATAAGAGAAAAAGAATCAATCATTGGATACAAAAACAAAACTGTAATGTGATATGCTTGCAAGAAACTCATATTAGAAATTCCGATACTAAATATTTAAAAAATGTCAAATTTGGATTAGAATTTTATTCTTCGGCCTCAAACAAGAAAAAAGGAGTTGTGACATATGTGAAAAAGGATTTACAACCTAAAGAAATTTTTAAAGACTTGGAGGGAAGATATGTGGGTGTGGAAGTTTTGATCCAACAGAAAAAGACATTGGTGATCAATCTATACGCACCCAACGGAGCAAAAGAAAAATTCTTTAAGGACTTAACTGAACATCTACAAGGACAAACCTATGAACAAGTCATTTTGGTCGGAGATTTTAACGGAACTGTGGACCGTTTGGATAGAAGATCACAAAAAGGCAACGAAATTAGTGGAAAATTGCCAAAGAACTTTTTTGAAATAGTCAAGCAGGAAAAACTAGAGGATGTATGGAGGAAATGGAACCCGACGCAGAAGGATTTTACTTTTTATTCCAATAGACATTGCTCTTTTTCCAGAATTGATATGATTTGGATGTCAGAAGAATTGTCAATGAAAACACATAAAATTGAAATTTTGCCAAGATGTAATTCCGACCACAACCCTGTTTTGTGGACTTCTATAGAAAGGAACAAATCCTTTCTTTGGAGAATTAATGAAGATTTGTTGGATAAAAAAGATGTAACTGAAATGTTAAAGGAAGAAACAAAGCAATTTTTCCAACAAAATCTGAATAAAGAGACCCCAATTCAGGTGGTGTGGGATGCGTATAAAGCAGTGATGAGAGGGATTCTCATCTCTCAAAATGCGAAGCAAAAGAAGGAAAAATTTCAAAAACAAACAGTAGTGTTGGAAAAAATATCACAAAAAGAAAAAGAATTAAAGAAGAAACCAGGGAAAAAGAAGATTATTCGAGAATTACAGTTGTTGAAAGAACAACTGAATGAAACTTTAAACCAGGAGCTCTATTGGAATTTAAAGAGGCTACAGCAAAAATCTTTTGAAGGGGCAAATAAACCGGGGAAATTTTTAGCGTGGCAACTT